AAAAACTATAGATGAAATAAAATTATAGTGTTGTGATTTTTTAAAAAAACTCTATGTAGAACTATGCATTAAAGGGGAGGTGTTATCTTTGAGGGTTAAATATATCAATAAATTTATATAAAATAATATTAATTATGATGATATTGCATCAAGATGAATTTTTTAATTATTCCCATTGTACATACTCTAATGTTAGGTTACCTGGTGGTGCAGTTAGAAGTCTGTATTAGGGAGGCAAAATTTTTAGGAGTCTTGTCTCATTTTAATGTTAAATCTTGGATAATGATATGCATGAAACAATGATAAAAATACCCTTACTTAAACAATTTGAGCAATAAAAATGAGTTACAAAATCTATACTAAAGTATATGCAAAATCTTAAAGCAATTAAAATGTTTTAAAAGAAATTTATTTTTCATTTTGTTTCAAAACCAATTTCCCCCCAAAGTTATCGAAATTAATTGCAATTCTATTTAGGATCGGATAGGGAATATATTGTAAATTATGTACAATGGTAACTAAGATCACACAATTTTACATCATGGTTTTTCTTTGGCAAAATAGTGGGATGTGGTTATGACCACCCAATGTTTTGTTAATGTTATAAAAATTGTGTTCAATTTGATTGATGGTTGTGTTTTTTTCTTAAATATTTAGTTATAATATTTAAAAATATTAATTTATAAATTGATTTTAATTTATTAATTAATAATTATCAGTTATTTTATCAATTATTAATTATTCTTAATAATAAAATAAAATAAATATTTTTTTAATAATACTGTATAATTTTAACAAATTAATAAGTAATTATAAACCACATTCATTAACAGAGATAAGGGGGCAGAAGGCCCCCTAAACTTTTAAAAAGTAAAAGCTTTGGTCCTTTAAGTTACAATATTATTATTTTAATCCTTGTTTATTTCATGCATTTTAATTATTTTTTAACACTTGTTTTTTTCAAAAATAAGTTTTAGTGATTATGAGAAAAATGATGAAAATAAAGATAAAATATAATATAATATAAACATAAAGATTAAATGAATACAAAAAGTTCTTCAATATTATCCTTTTATAAAATAATTGTTTATTAATATTCTTTTTTGTCCATTAATACCCTTTTACTTTTATTTTATTTTTTTATTTATTAGTATTCTTCTATTCCATATACATTTATTTTATCTTTTAATTGATTCCATATACAATACTATATCATTAATTAATATTAATTTATTATTAAAAACTAACAGATTTTAATTTAAAATAATTTTTATTAAAATTTTTATTGACATTTTAATTAATACAAAGGTGCATTTTTTTTTTTCAAAATTTTCATAATGGGACACCATCATATAGCAGCTGAATACAATAACATCATAAAAAAATTTAGGACAAAAAATGAACTCGTCATGAGATTACACAACTCCTAGCCTAGTACACAACCAAGCTAAGTTAGCTACAGCAGTTGGCTGAGAACTACAAACAAAGAGATCGCCATATGTCGACAAAGTTCCCTTCAAGCAACGAAACTAAGAGCCTTGAAATTGATTTTTGAGAAGAAGAAATCATAAAATTTAGGAATCTAAGAAAGAGATACCTAACAACCTGTCCAAGTTTTCTTTCTTTTCGGCAACTTTTCGAATGTAGTTGAATGTCGCGATCTTCCGACTGTACTCCTTAATTACGGCTGAAATTCAAAGATTGACTATCCTCAATTCCTTAACGACATTGATGTTCTGTAGAAGATTGTCTTTTCAAAATTTTTTTCCATAGAAATTACATAAAATTTTAACTTGTAATTAATATTTTAAAAATTAATTATTAAATTAAATATTTTATTATCTCAATTGTACACGTAAATTTTAATTTAATTTAATATTTATAATTTTTTTGACTAAAAAAATTGTATATATTCATTTACACTTAATAAGATTAAAATTTATATAATTAATAAATTAG